TCTGACAGTTCCAAGAAAAATCATACTATCTTCTTAAAAAGCCTAGAAATATATGTAGTAATTTTTGGATCAAGCTGAAGCTGCTACGATTGAGGAGGAGTGATTAGGTTCATTTCTATTTCGGTTCTTTCTAATTTTCGTTGTAAACTGAGGATGTTAATTTTGCTGTGAACTTTATTTTTATTTTGTTTTAAGACATATATAATTTTCTTTCTAAGCTTTATTAATGTTAATATTTTTCCTGTAATTTTTGTTTTTATTACGTCATTGTAATATGTAATTCAGATGGGAGGAGGCCCGCATGTTAATGCTAGTGATTCTGAAGGTAATAGTATGCTTCAAGAGAGAGACCATCTCTGCTATGCATTTTCTGAAGGTATGTTGGCTGTCATTCCATGTTGTTCTGTTAATTATGATAACAATTTTCCTTACTTTTTAAAACTTATTTTCTATTTTTGGTAACTGGTTTAATTGATTTTTGGTAAAACTTAGGGTACCAAAACCGAAAAATAAGTAAATTTTTGGATACGGGAAAATGAAAATCTTCCTTCTATATATCCTTCTTGTTAAATAGGAACAAAAAAGCTGGAGAGTATAGTGTACGAGCAACGGAATGCGTTGGAGAATGAGAAACGAAGGCTTCATTCATGGAGCGAAGAACTTACTAAGCGTGAAGCATTAATCGAACGTGAGAGATTAAAACTTCATGTCGAGAATAAGATGGTTAGTTTTTGTTCATGCCTCATGCTATACATATGCAGACATGTCCAGCATTATACACTTTCAATGCCAAGAATGTACCTCGGCTTCAAAATGATTTTCTTATAGATTCACCAATAAATAAACAAAAAAGTTTGTTTTGGACAAATTGCACGTATATTGTTGGCCGTACTTGCTGCTGAGTTGCACAATTATGAAATTTGAATTTTCAGCTTCATTTGTCATGGACACTAATGTGGATTTTCTTATAATGCCTTACTATCTGTTTTTTCCCGACAGAGTTTATGTATGTTTTTTGTGTTCCTGTCAGGCTAAAGTCAAGAACTCGGCCATAAAATCTCGTTATGGGATTTACGTGGATCTGTTCAAGCATGAACAGGTATATGGCCTTTAGTAAACTATTACCAGCTCCATTACCTTTCGTGTACTGTGGCATGCATGAATTACACACTTTTGCAGAGAGAAAAGGAGGCAGCCCTCCAGAAGGTTGTCGAACTTGAGAGGAGTTTCGAACATGAGAAGCAAAGACTGGAACTGGAAATTGAACTACTTGAAGCGAAGTTAGAGATGATGAAAAAAGTGGGAGATGCTGATGGGAATTGTGATGATATTTGCCAAAAGATAGAGATGATGTCTAAGCCGAGTCAGGAGGCATTCAAAAAGCTGATCGTGGTATGTTTACATTAAAGATAGTAATTTTTTCTACACCCTAATAACTGAAAAAATCGGCTGCAAATTCTGACGTGAAACAAAATTGGTGTGTTGCTCGTTGTCAGGGATTGTATAATTTGCTGATCATTAGCAGCAATCACGTAATGGGGACAAAAAGAGTAGCTAAAATAGATACAAAAGACTTCGGAAATGCATGCAGCCTAAGGTTCCCACTCGAACAACCTGAGATCATGGCCGACGAACTTTGCTCCTTGTGGCAAGAGAAGCTGAAAAATCCAGAATGGAACCCATTCAAGTTCGTTGAATACAAAAGATGGGAGCCTCAGGTAGACTCCAAGTCACATCCCATCTCGTCTCATTTTTCTTTGACTAGACAATCATTATTGATCCATTTGATTTTTTGCATACTTTTTGACATCCCTCTTAGTTGTCATGTGTTCTTATTCAAGAAATCGTCTTTCGGTCCCAAGTTTTCTCACTTTTACTTTAACTTGTTCACTCATTATCGATCAATTTGTTTTTTCATGCTTCACGTTACAATTTTTTGCAAGAATGAATTATGAATTTGGCCACTAACAGAAGAATACTTGTGGGATCTTATGAGTAAATAAATTACTGGTGTTCTATCATCAATGCAGTGGGTGGTGAACAAGGACGACGAGTTGTTACGTGGCCTTGAGTATAAATGGGGACATGAAGCCTATGATGCTGTTATTACAGCCTTAAAAGTACTTCAAAGTTATGACCCAATGAGTGGATCTTTTGTTGTGCCCCAGCTATGGAGCTTTATGAAGAACAAGGCGGCCACTTTAGAGGAAGTTGTTCGCTACATAATTGTCCAGTTAAGGACATTCAAGCGCATGTAAGAACTTAGAGCGCGCTTTTGTACATGGTTTTGCAATGTTGGTCTTTTGCTAATGTGATGCCAACTTGTTAAGTAATGTATGAGCACTAGACTAACCTTTTTTCAGTTCCTGAGCAAAAAAAGAAAAAGTAAATAAATATAAATAAGTAAAAAATAAAACCACCATACCCTGCAAAAATTCAGCTTTTGACAGAAAAATAATGAAATGTAACAAGAGTTGTTTAGGACAAAGAACTTGGATGGTGTCAGAATAGAGAAATGACCAGGTTTAATTGGGAAACAAAAGCCAACATGACTAAGATGTGTGTGTGGAAGTAGTGTTCTTAAATTAAACGAGCCTGGCTCGAGCTCGGCTCGTTAAGCTTGAGTTCGGCTTGGCTTGGCTCGTTTGATAAACGAGCGAGCTTGAGCTCATTTAAAGCTTGTTTGGTAAACAGTTCGACTCGATAAGGCTCGAAAAAATATGTTTGCATTGCAAAAGATTACTAACCAACTCCTTGATTGTCTTCCTCATCATTCAAATTTTAGCTTTAAGTTTATTTAATGAGAAATCATTAGTCCTTGAACACCGGTAAGAACTAAAATGGAGAAGAAAGGCTGAAAGGGGATTTTTCAGCTAATACAACAAAGACTATGCTCGAGTATGCTTATGATTATATTATATTGCTAGCTAGATCCAATGTGTCTTGAAACCTTGGGAGATGCTGGCGGGATATTGAGGAAGGTAATAAATGATAACATCGGTCATATGCTCCACTTTTGTTGCACAAGTTATATGAACAACTAGCTTTGCGACCTTGGGAAGTCTAAAGGGGGATCAAAACTTCGTACTTTCTTGAGGAAATATATCGAGGAGAACATGATGTATTGCTTTGTACATCATTCTACAAATACTTAAATTATATAGCAGACAAACTATTTTTTTTTAAATACAACAGACTTTTTCTCAAAATATTTTGAACATATACAACTATAAATATTGAATATTTGAGAAATATTGGTATAAATACTCACATCATTTGTCAGAATATGAGCAAATTGACTCATCTTTTTTCACTGAATTCTGACTTTAAAGACTCTAAACGTGAAGCCGTTTCTTTGTTCTCTCTCTTTAGAGTTTACATGTGTTAGTTTGCTTCCTCAATTCTTCACTCTCTTTTGTTAGTTCTTGATTAATATTTTCCCCTCTCTTAAAAGGAAGTTTTAGGCCATCCCCACAACCATGTACACGACTCGGTTTCTCTGGTTCGAGTAAATTTTATGAAAGCTTCATTTTCTCTACAACATCTTCTATATCTTCATATTCTCCATTTTGAAGTTTTAAAATTTCCTCATTTGAGTGACATGAGATCGTTTTTCGAAAAGTTGCATCTTGAATTCATACTTTAAAAAAAAATAATATTCAAAAGGTATTTCACGTATGTTTTAAAATGTTTGCATCCCAAACACTGACCAACCACCAAAGAGGAGTAACGATGTCGACACCAACCAAAAGTTGGAATTGTGGGTGAAGGCAGGAGTCAACGAAGAGACGAAAACAACGCATTTCTATTATGTCTTTTTTAGCCAGAATCCACAAAAATTAGATTAACATTTATAATTCACGATCCCTAACCAAACTTAACAAAAATAATATCATCCATAATCACACCAAATCTATCCAAAATAACATCATCCATAATCTCTAACCAAATCTATCGAAAACAATCATATATGAGAATTCTTTTCCTAAACTATATAATTTTGTGAAAAAAAAAAAAAAAATGGCCAGTGAGACTGAAATGAGAATTTGAGGCTTAAGTGGGCGAAAAAACTAAATTCAATAAAACCTGGGGTTAAAATTAAATTGCAGTGTCCCAACGGTGGGATTAAAGCAATTTGAAAAATATTCAAATTATACACAGTTATTAGGGTTTTGGTTCAATTGGGGCTGTTTGAGTAGATTTTGATGATTCCGACAAGAATTCTTTGTTATTTCATGCTTATCACCCCAAATTCTTCTCTTTTGGGCTCTCAATCCGCGTATGCATTTCAAATTTCAGGGTGAATTTTCTTCTCAGGCGTCATCTCCACATCTCAAGATCTCACAATCTCCCGTCGATTGATTGAAGC